GTGCCCGAAGCGATTATTGTCCTAATTATCGCAACCACAATATCCCCCCTCCTCCACCCTCTCATTATTATTTTCTGTAAACAATTGTTCTTTTTTTATTACAATTTTTTTTCTTCGTAAATATTAAAAAGATAACAATTGCTTTTTTTTTCTTGGAACAAAATTTTGTTTTTATTAGGATTTTTTTGTGTTTTAAACTTTCTTTGAAATAAGTTTTCATTAGAATGAATTTTGTTGAAACAAATTTTATTGAAATAATGTAAATTAAATACTAATAAAATTAAATAACAATATAAATAAATTGTAATATATAAATAAATAATAATATAATTAGTTAACAGTATAATTGAGTAACAATATAATTCATTGACAATGTAATTAATTAAATATATAATTAACTAACAATATATAATTAATTAACAATATAGTTAACTAGCAATATTGTTAACTAATTTTACTGTTAATTAATTACGTTATTAATTAAAAATATTATATTATTATTTAATTCTAATTAATTATATTGTTAATTAATTACATTGTTAATTAAAAAACAATATAAATAATTAGCAATTTAATTAAATAACAATATAATTCATTTTATTGCTAACTAATTATATTGTTGATTAATTACATTGTTAATTAATTCTATTGTTAGTTAATTATATTGTTAATTAATTTTACTGTTAATTAATTATGTTATTAATTAAAAATATTATTATTTATTTGTATTATTATTTAATTCTGTTGTTAATTAATTATATTGCTAATTAATTATATTGTTAATTAATTATATTGTTAATTGAAGAACAATATAAATAATTAGCAATTTAATTAAATAACAATATAATTAATTTTATTGTTAACTAATTATATTGTTAATTAATTTCATTGTTAATTAAATAACAATATAATTAATAATATTGCTAACTAATTATATTGTTAATTAATTACATTGATAATTAAAGAACAATATAAATAATGATCAATATAATTAAATAATAAATATAATTTATTATCAATATAATTAAATAACAATATAAATTAAAATTACTTTCGTAAGTGAATGCCAATGACTCGAGATTCATCTAAATTTCCCGAGGGCTTAAAGAAGCTAATTTAAACTGAAATCGAGATCTGATAACCACATTGATCTTGTTTTCAACTCTTTTATTTTTTTTTTCCTCCCCTAATGAGATCACTCATTCAGTACAGATTTCTTTCTTTTGAAATAAAACTATTTTTTTCAAGAAATTATTTTTTTTTGCATTTTTTTCCAAACATGTTTTTTGAAAAACAAAAAAAAAACGTAAATTATATTTTAACAATGTCGGATAATCTATCTTGAGAAGTTCACAGAAGGCAATTATATATTTATCATTAAATTACTTCAATTATATATTTTTTTTATTTTCCATCAAACTCATCAAATGTGTCTTTCATTGTCAAGGTCAATCGAATCAAATTTATTCGAAATTACGTCAATGATGAATTTAATTACTAATAATAATGAATCATAGAATTGTATTTATCTGTCAATAATCGAATTTAGTGTGCATAATAATTATTTTTTATTTTTAATTGAAATAATGAGCGGACATTGATTGGAAAAGATTAAAATAGAAAATTATTTATTTACTATTACGGTAATTAAAAATAAAAATAAGTTTGAAAAAAAATTTTTTTTGTTCGTTCAGCTATATTGTGGATCAATTATTGCAATAGATTTTTAATAATCTCGTTATGGAAATTCAATTCCGCGTTGCGACACCCTTTGTGAAATTTAAATTACATAATATTTTTCTGGTAGAGAAGTTTAAACTGAAAATAATTAGTGACCGCAAAATACGTTAGAATTGAAAAAAAAATTATTTGCGTTTTATAAAACGATAATTTATTCTACTATATAATTTAATATAATAATAATTGTTCTACATAACCAGAAAAAATTTTATTAAAAATAATTTATTGGTGGTAAATAAAAGTATATTTGTCTCAGGACCTGATAAATTATTTACTATTAAATTAAACTATTTATTTAGTCAAATAAACATTTAATTCATCACAAATAGAATTTTTATTTAAATCAAATCAAATTTACAGCTAACAAATAAATTATTTAACCTCTCAGTAAAATATATTTTTTCTGGGTGAAATAATTAATAAATTTATTAAAAAATTTGTTTTTATTATTAACAAATATTAATAAATATTAAATATTTTTTATTTATTTATTTGTTAATTAATTAATTAATTCGTTTATTATTTATTATTACTTTATTTACACACTCCCTGCACAATTTATTTATATTTATTAATATTATTATAAGATTAATATTTTTATTACAAATTAAAAAATAAATTCTTCATTTTTCGAAATTGATGTCTATTTTGGAAAAATATTGAAAATTTAATGGTGATTTTTTTTTCTTTAAGAAAATAAAAGAAATGAAATGAAGCGTAAAAGAATTCAAAATAGAGAATCTATTGGTTGTTTACTATTTTGCAATTGCAATAAAATCTAAAGGATATCGTTGTTTTTTTCTAAAACTATTGCGTAGTCTTGAACACCTGTCATAAGTGATACCTAAAAGCAATAAACGATTAGTAATTAAATAGAAAAGAATCCGATAAGTTCGTTATACTTATAGTTCTAAAAATAAAAAAGCTATTTTTCCATATTTTTTAATTATAATTCAACTTTATGACGATTTGTGAAATTTTTTTTTTGGAATAATGAAGTGATTCATTAAATTATTTTTTTTAATATAAAAATATTATTCTCTTAAAGTATCATTTTTATCACATTTGATCACATTTTTATATTAAAACATATTCTGCTTATTGATTCGACTAGTTTTTCTACTTTATTTTTTTTTCTTTTCCTAATATTTGTTAATTATATTCGAAAAATTAAAAAAAAAATCGAAAATTTTTTATTTTATTTACTTATTTAATAGTAGGTTCAATTTATTAATTTAGCATTTTTTAAAAAATAATAATTTTAGTATTTTAAAAATTTAATATTAGTTGATAATTAATATTTACTATTAATTTAATAATAAATTAAAAATATTTGCTTTTTTGTTAAAGAATGTTTGTTAAATTTTTTGTTAATACCTTTTTATTAAAAAATAAGTATTAAAAATATTTAATGAATTCATCACTTTATTAAAACAAATTTATATTTTTTAATTAATTTCAATTATTCTATTTAGGAACTTTTTGTACTTATTATTTTTTGGTACATTTTTTAATTAAAGGCTTCTGGTCTTTATATTTATTAAATAAATGAAGAACTTTATTTTTGCCAAATCGACAATAATCTATTTTCTATTACAATAAAAAGAGTATGACTCAAGTTTTAGAGAGAAAAAAATTTTTTTATTCATCAGTCCGTTGAGACTGTATTGAAACACTTAAAATTTTAATTGAAAATAATAAATATAGACGTACAAAATAATAAAAAATAATTAAAAATAATATAGTTTTTTTTTGGAAAAAGGAATAAAGTCTTTGCCATTATTTCTTTATTATTATCTTCTCGCGGATGTATATAAATTTTGAAAAAGCAAAAAAAGTAATTGAAAAATTAAGAAAAAAAAAATAATTAAATAGAATGGAAATTTTCTGTTTATGGGGACATGTTGTGTAAAAAAAAGGAGAGGAATTACGTAATTGCGTCAAGTAGTCGGCAAATGTGTATATATGCGTATTCTAAAGAGCCTAGGGCAAAGGAAGACCTTGCCAACATGAGAACTGGGCCATAGGACCCCACCAGCATCTCTTAGGGTCCATCGGACCCAAATCATTTTCGCGCACACTTGATTGATTCTAAGAATCTATAAATATCACTTAATTAACACACTCTTCTCACTTTCATTCACATATCGCAGGAATATTTTAATAAAAACTTTTTTTTTACCTATATGGTACTTAAAAGAACAAAAAATTTTATGTCCCAGGAAAAAAATTAATAATTGCAATATCAATGAATTTTTCTCCATGTGCCTTATCTTTTTTTGACTATAAAAAAAGTATTTTCTTAATTAATTATAAGTGTATCTGATATTAATTAATTTTTATTTATTTGATAATAATAAATTGTACACTGAAAAAAAAATTTATTTGATTCAAGTAAATATTTATTTGATTCTAGTAAATATTTATTTGTTAATAGACAAGTAATCGGTTATTTGAATTAAATAAATTTTGTCAGTGTATATTAATTAATAATTAATTTTAATTTACTTAAGAATAATTAATTATATATTTATTTATTTTATATTATATTAATATTATTATTATTCTGATTATTTGAATTCTGGGAAAATTCAATTATTATTATTATTATTATTATTATTATTATTATTATTATTATTATTATTATTATTATTATTATTATTATTATTATTATATTTATTATATTATATATTATATTAATTTATTATATTAATTCATAATTAATTTTAATTTTACTTAACAATAATTAATAATAGGTATATTTATTCATTTACTTATTTATTTATAGACAGGACAAGCTCTTTCGTACAAATAGTAAATACTTACTATATTCAATAATAATTAATTTTATTTTAATAATAATCAATTTTAGTTTAAAAATTATTAACAATATTGTAATAAATTTTGCAAAATATTCGAGAATAGATTTTCTTCGGTTTCGTGATAAATATAAAAAGATAGAAAAATAAAATGTTGTGAGAGTATGAAAAAAAGGGTCCCAAATTTGACGAAATGTTTATACAAATTACAACACTCGATCGTGAATTATTCATTTGGGAATCGATTCGCGATCAGATTTCACCCGAATAGAAGAAATAACTGGAAGAAAAACCTTGATAAGTGATCTGCTACTATTGAATGAGAAGAAGGATTGAATTTTTTTTTCTGCCGGTAATCATTTCATCTCATCACTTATATTTTATTCGATTTTATTTTCAATTGGAAATTTTAATTTTCATTCAATTTTTTCATTTTTTTAGGTACTGGGACCAATTTCCGGATGTCATATTAATCCGGCAGTGACATTGGGACTCGTTGTTAGTGGAAATTGTACCATTCTGAGAGGATTATGCTACATCGTGTGTCAATGTTGCGGAGCAATTGCAGGAGCTGGTGTGTTGAAGGTAATTTATCAAGAAAAAAAACTGGTTCTTTTATTTTTTAGTATTTTTGTTATCTTTTTTTTTACTTTTTAAAGAATTATTTTTAGAAAAAACAGATTTTTATTGCAAATTTAACAAAATTTAAATTTGTTAACAGTTGAAATAAAGAAATTATTTTAAACAATTTTAATAAAGTTATTGGAAAAAATACCAAAAATTTTAATAAAATTCTTTAAAACGATTCAATTATTTTCATAAATTTTTCTTAATTCAATGATTTTCCATGTCTACTAATTTAATAAAAAAATTCCCAAAAGAATTAATTATTTAAAAAAATTTTAATGAAATTCTGTATAATAATTGAATTGTCTTCAATATAATTTTAATACAATTTTTTGAAAGAATTCAATTATTCATAAATAATATCGAAAAAATGCTATTTTTTACATTTCTAAATAATAAATAATTATTTTAATAGTATTTTTTTGATAAAAGCTGATTTTTGTTACAAATAATTCACTCTATTGTGAATAATAATTTAGAAGATATTTTTTATTAAAATGAAAAAGTATTAAGTATTTTTTAAACACCTGTTTTATGGAGAATGAATGAATTTAAAAAGCAAGTTATTTAACTAAAGTGTCATTGCACAAGGTCAAGGTTGAGAGGGGTCTGATTCCCTCCGGAGCGATTTGTCCATGTGAGAAGTCCGTTACATCAGAACTGGTCAATCTTCTGGACAATACACAATTACTCTCTCATTTTGCACCAACAAAAAATCTGCGAATATTTTTCAAATATAATCTAGAAAGAAAAAAATATTTTTTGTTAGAATTAACAACAAAATTTCTTTTCAAATATAATCTAGAAAGAAAAAAATATTTTTTGTTAGAATTAACAACAAAATTTCTTTTCAAAAATAATCTAGAAAGAAAAAGAATTTTTTTGTTAGAATTAACAAAAAAATTTCTTTTCACAAATAATCTAAAAAGAAAAAGAATTTTTTTTGTTAGAATTAACAAAAATAAAAAATTTTTCGTAAAGTTTTATGAGAATTTTTCTGATAATAATTTTTTTTTTGCAGATTGCACTTCCAGCGGAGAAGACGAATCAATCATTGGGAATGACAAATCTGAGTGTGGAGAATGGACAGGGAATTTTGATCGAGGCGATTATTACATTTTTGCTGGTGCTCGTGGTCCATGCAGTCACGGATCCAAAGAGGCACGACTGTCGTGGATGGGCACCACTCGCAATTGGGTTGACAATCACTGTTTGTCATTTGGCCGTTGTCCCGGCAACTGGTAGCAGTATGAATCCAGCTCGATCACTCGGTCCAGCTGTGATTTTGGGAATCTGGAAAGATCAATGGGTTTATTGGGTCGGACCAATACTCGGCGGTGTTTTGGCTGGTGTTCTCTACAGAATGGGATTCAAGTCAAGAAGCAAAGACGATGACGAAGCTTCATACGATTTTTAAGCTATAGAAAATCATTCTTGGCTTTTTTTTCTTTTATTTAATTTTAATACATTCATATTTTTGCATTTATTTTCTTAAATTTTCAATTTTGACAATTTCGAGCGAAATCGAACGAAAATTTCAATTTTTCGTTTTATTTTATTTCTCTGTATTTTTATTTTTATCCCGAATTTTATATTTATTTTTCTATAAAAATTTAATTTTTAATAATTTAATTTAAAATTTAATTTTTATAAATAAAAATTTACCAAGTAAATAAATTTTGAGAAATGAAAATGGAAATAAAATTCTAAACGTCTTGTCAAGAATTGAAAATTAAAAAAAATATTTGCAAACTCTTCATTCACTGTCGTAATTCACAATTGAGGTATTTCTGAAAAATTAAAGATAAGAAAATTTCGTTTCATAAAAAATAAGATAATAATAATAATAATAAGAAATCCTTTTACTTATTCGCGAAGACTTGGAAAAATATTTTCTAGGAAATATTTTTTTGATGCAGAATAAATTTCAGAAAATAAGCAATTAAAATAAAAAAAATTTAATTCTGATTTTAATAAATAAAAAGAGATTAAAAATTGGGTAAAAGAATTTCAAATTACGTCGTGTGACCTCTTGCTGGCAAGAAGTTGAATGAGCGAGGAAAAATATTTAATTATTATTTATTTTCTTTTTTTAAGTTACAACATAATATACAGAATCCTTAATTGTGATTTACGAGAGATTTCAGTATTTCTTGGAAACAAAAGTTTCTTCTCCAATGTAATTATAAATTTTTTTTTAATTATTTTATTTAAGTTACATATATAAAGTGATAAAGTTTTAATTTAGTTTCTTAAAAATTCGATTTTTTCAGTCACTGAGAATATTTGAATAAGAATTTTAAGTTTACGATTTTACTGCAAAATTTTAATTTTACTGTTGCAAAAAACATTTTTTTTTATAGAAAACGTAATCAAAACAATCAGAAACAAAAAAAATAGTAATATTTTTAACTTTAAGGGAATTTAATGAAATTAATGAAGTTATTGAAATTGAAAATTGTAATTTTGTGCTAAAATTTTTGACTGACTGAGGTAATTTACTTTTGAAAAAGTCTCTGTCTTTTAAAGAAAGTTGACCGATTTAGAATTAATTTTAATCATTGATTTTTATTCCGATTTATTGAAAAAAATTGGGTAGTTCTTAAGATTTGTATATATTGTACTTAAAATAAATTTAATCTTCTAAGAATATTTAAGGAATGTCGTGGATTAATTCTAAAAATCCTCGACATTTGGGAAAAAATGTAGAATTACTTTTTATGTTTAAAATAGTTTTCAAGTGTCAATTAAATTTAAATTTGAATTAGAATTTTAATTTTATTTATACATAAAATATAAAACAAAATAAAAAAAGTAAAAAAACGGTTAAAACAATATTTAGAGAATGTTTTAGAGATAAATTTCAATTAAAGTAGAATTGTTTTTTTATAAATTTTTAATTGCTAGTAAATTTTTGCGAATTCAATTAGCCAATTAAAAATTAATAAAAATTAAAAACATTGGGAATAAAACTTAAGGGATATTTTTTCTAAATAAAAAGCTTTTACATTTTACTTTTCCTGAGACTCCCTCCAGAGATTTGTGATTTGTTTCAAAATAGATGCACCAAAATAGTGTTCTGCTCTCTAGCATACGAACCAGTTTGAAATCATCGACCGACAGAAGATCATAGAAAAATATCTGGAATGAAGTTTATTTAGTTTTTAAATTTAAAAAATTATAAAAATAATTTAAATAACTTAAAAAAATTTTAATTAAATTCAAATAATTCGAAATAGTAATTAATAATTCACGATTTAGAAAATAATTACTTGAAAAATGTTTACAAAACAGTGTTGAGTAGGTAGAAAATTTTTTGGTTTCGAAATAAAATAAAAATTGGTGTAATAAAAATGGCAGATACGGAAGTGAGCGATTATTTCCGATCAAATTTATTGACACTGCGTGGCGCAATTGACGACAATGATTTTAAATATTTCGGTTCTTTGGAAAAAAATACTCAAAGAATTGCTTTTTTATTGCGTTATCCAGAAGCACATCGTCTTTCTTTCGAAATTGAAAATGAAGAATGCAAAAGTTCGGTGAAATGTTTAAAATTAAAAAACGAAGGAAATAAATATTTTGGTTGCGGCAATTTTGAAAAAGCTTTGGCGAAATATTCGAATGCCATTATTTTGGCTCCTCTAGAAGGTATTTTTTTCTTCTACTTACATAGAAATTAACGAAACAAAAAATTTAATTTTAAATTTAATTTTAAATTTAATTATAAATTTAAATTTAAATTTTAATCCTAAAGCATTATTTTAATTTTCAGATTTGGGAATACTTTACGGAAATCGTTCAGCAGCTTTATATCATTTGACTGATTATGAATTGGCAATAATCGACACTGAGGAGGCTGTAAAAATGGGATATCCAAAGGAATTACTTTATAAATTAGAGGATAGACGAGCAAGATGTTTATTGGCTCTAGAGGATCATTCGAGAGCAATGGATGCATTTAAAAGTGCCTTAAAGTCATTGGATTTCGCGAAATTGACACTGGACAAGAAGCAAAAATTAGAATCCGATATCAGAGTGATGTTGGCTGTGATGGAAAGGGGAGCGAAACTCAACGAAAATGGAAAGACAAATAAAATTATTAAGAAATTGAAAGTAAAATCGCCGAAATGTCTTATTCCAAAAACAAAGGACACAAATATTTTCTATCCGGCATTCAGCAATGCTGTCGAAATAAAAGACGCGGGTGGTGAAATTGGTAGGTTTGGCATTGCCACGAGGGATATTAATCCCGGGGAAATTGTCGCTGTTGAAAAAGCTCATTGTGCTGTCTTATTGGGAGAATACAGGTAAATTTAATTTTATATTAAAATATATTATTAAATTTAATTGTACTTAATTAAATACTTTTTATTTATTTATTTGTTTATTTATTTAATTTATCACGTGTAGAATTTTGAACTTGAGAAAAGTCGATCTTAAAAATAGGTTTCAAGTATTTTTTTAATTAAATTAAAAATCAAATTCAAGTCAAATATTAAAAATCAAATTAAAATCTAATTAAAAACCATTTTTTCGAAATTGCAGATTGAGCCATTGTCATTTATGTTTGGAGAGAATTTTCGCTCCGATTCCGGCTTTCTGCTGCAGTTATGTGGCATACTGCTCGACAAATTGCAGAAATTTGGATTCGAATTTACACTCCATTGAGTGTAAAATATTAGGACCACTTTGGAGTTCCGGCACATCCGTCACTTGTTTACTAGCATTAAGAGCAATTATTCAACGACCTTTAAACGAACTAATTAAATTGGAAGACAAATTTAACGAAAAATATGTCGGTTCGAAAATTCGACCGTACAAAGGATCCGATTATGAAGCTCTTCATGGAATGGGTAAATTTTTCGATATTTTATTTAAAAAACCAAATTTTCGTTTCAATTTTAATTAAAATTGAAATTTAATTCAATTTAATTTCAATTTTAATTTCAATTTCAATTTCAGTTGTAATTTAATTTAATTTAATTTAATTTAATTTAATTTAATTTAATTTAATTTAATTTAATTTAATTTAATTTAATTTAAATTTAAATTTAAAGAAAACCTTAAAAATTTAATTTGAAGAAAAACTTAAAAATTTAAATATTTTATGGTTCTAGTAAACAATTTTTTTTTATTGTTTCAGTGACTCACGAGGATAAAAGAACAGTGGAGGACATTTTTCATCGGACATTTATGGCCTGTTGGCTGTTAAGACTTTTGAAGACAACATCTTATTTTCCTGAAAATGTTAAAACTCCGGATTCATCGGAAGAACAGCTTTCTAACGAAGAACTTTTCATTGGACACTTATTACTTCATAATTTACAATTGCTGCAATTTAATGCGCACGAGGTATAATTTGCATGGAAAAATAGGGAAGAGAAAGATTTATTTTCCTGTAATTTTCTCTTTTATTTTCTTCGTCTATTTTTTATTTCTCTCTCTTTTTCCAACAGATTTCCGAGCTCGTAAAACTGAAAGGCGAGAAAAATTTATCTAAGGCGAAAAATTTATTTATTGGAGGCGGTCAATTTCCTTCAGTTGCTCTTTTAAATCATTCATGCAATCCAGGAGTCATCAGGTAATTACATAAGAAAACGCTAATTAAAACAATAATGTTGTTTTTTTTCGAGAAAATTTAATTTATTTTCATAATTGTAAGTTTATTTTCATTTCTTTTACATTTCCCGTTAGAAATTCTTCAAGTATTTTTCAATTAAAGTGACATAACTGATTTCGTGAAATTAAAATTAAGGTATGAAAAAAATTCAGATTAAATTGCAAAAGAATAATGTGAAATTTAATTTTAGGATTAATATGCAAAGATTAAGTCTTACGTTAATCGTGCAAATTCTATTCAAATTTTTTTCTCTGAAATGAATTCGCCTTAAAATAAATTAATTATGAGACAGAGTTTAATTAGTAATTGCATTAAAAAATGTATATTTATAGTTTAATTATTTGTTTGTGGAAATATTAAATTTTTTTTGTAACTTTTGCAGGTATTTTATAGGAACAACAATGATTGTGAGAGCAATAAGGACAATTAAGGCAGGAATGGAAATTAGTGATAATTATGGGCCAATTTTTGCTGAAATGACAGAAACAGAACGAAAAAGAAAATTGAGGATACAATATTGGTTTGACTGTAATTGCGAAGCGTGCAGTGGTCACTGGCCACTTTTAGTCAATATTGACCCTCGAATTCTCAGGTATGAAAGAATTTCCAACTCATATTCCAAATAATTGTCATCTTTAATATAAATGTCGATCATTGATTGTACTAATTTCATTTGTGCTCCGTACATTCACTTCATCATTTTTTCAGTCTTCTGTCAATTTCCACGAATTTCTCAACTTTAATATTAAAAAATATTTCATGACTTTTAATTCAATTAATGTAAAATTTTATTTATTTATAATTATTTATTTTTGTATGTTCAAATTTTTTTAAATTTATTATTTTAATTCTTGATAATTTAATATTTATTTATTTTTTATTATAATTTATTATCTAATAAACTGCCTATAAGTAATAATTATTAACAATTTTATTGTAATTTTTTATTTGATATGTCAATTTTTTTTGTTTACTAATATTATGAAAATTCGAAGATATTTAATTTCAAGGAAGAAATAATGTTCATAAGCATGTTTTTGTCAATGTCTCTAAATCATGTGAAATGTGTCTTCATTTTTCAGGCAATACAATTATTCGGAACAATCAAACATTTCCAGGGAGAATAAATTAATGTAAAATTATCAGTCTTACCAATTTAGATTAGAGAGCAATAGTTCATTTAGAATTTCTTTTCTTAAAAATTGTTCTGAACTTTCAATATTAGTTGTTTTAAAACCCAATTTTTTTCACTGTTAGAACTGCATGAGCATGTTTCCATTTTTCCTTTTATTAGAAACAATTTCCATTTTTCCTTTTATTAGAAACAATTTCCATTTTTTCTTTTTATTAGAAACAATTTCCATTTTTCTCAGGAATTGAAAAAGATGTTCTTTAATTCTCTTTTTGATGACAATTGAAAGAGAACTTAGAAATTTTTTAATTTTTCATATTTGAAAGATTTAGACATTTTTTTTTATAACTTTTTGATAAATTTTTTTTATATCTAATTAATCTGATTAAAAGGCATTTAATAATTTGAAATTACTGTTTTCTAGGTTTAAATGCGAAACTGAATTCTGCGATAATATTTTACCGATAAAAACTGACACAAACGAATTTATGGTGTCGTGTTTCAAGTGTGGTAAAAGTACAAATATTTTGAAAGGCTTGAAAGCACTACAAGATACGGATTCACTTTTCCGATTAGCTTCGCATAATTTAGAAGAAGGCGATTTTGAACAAGCTCTTAAATATTATTTGAAAATACTCAAACTACTAGACTCAACTTTAAGTCTACCGATCAAAGATTTTCACCTCTGTCAGGAGGGTGTTCGACTTTGTTTTCTAAGTTTTGGCAATTTCTCCGCAATTTGAAAAGGTAAATTTTTTTTTATCAGTAAAATTATCGAAAACCCCCAGCAACTTAGTTCCCCATTTTTTCATAGTTTTAATTACTTCAATAATAATAATAATAATAATAATAATAATAATAATAATAATAATAATAATAATAATAATAATAATAATATATTGTTATAGTATTTGAATATATTTATATTGTTATAATATTTAAATATATTTATATTGTTTTAATATTTAAATAGATTTATAAACAATAAATGGTTATATAAATGAAGAAATGATAATTATTGATTATACATTACAACTTTATTAATCTTAATTTTTTTTTATGAGTACAAAAAATGAATACAACACAAAAACAATTATATTTCCGTTTTGGCCTATTGAATAATTATATATTTATATAAAATATAAATATATGCCTATTTTAGACATCATCATTTGATTTATTAGTGAAAAAAATATTCAACTTGATTGTTCATATATAATTGAATTTTCCATTAAAAAAAATACGAAATAAAAAAAAAATCGGTGAGTAAACTTTATAATACGATTAAGAAATATATTTTTTCTTAAGAAAAAACACCACAATTATCGAAACTTTGATTATAGATTTTTAAAACGATGAGTTTCACAAATAATCATTTCTTTTATCGTCCAAATGGATAGTTTCCAGAAACAATTTCAAGTGAAAAATGGAATATCATTATGCTATTATCACTTAAACGTATAAGACATTTTCTTAATTCTATGCAAGTGTATTTTTTTTTCTGTAATTGTGTACCATTTTTCACTAATTATTATAATCAACTGTTTCGCTTGTTCAAGTTTAAAGATCTTTTCATCTTTTTTTTTATATACAATAAAAACATTTTTCGCTGTTCTTCACGTCTGTCCTCTTGTCATATTTCCGTTTCTTATCACCTTAACTGAAAAAACAAGAAGGCATTAAGGTTAATTCAATTTTTATTAAATATAATTTTTTTGTTATAAATAAAAAAAATTATTAATTACCGTCTGTCACGGGAGTCTGATCGGGAGCGACGATCTCGGCTTCGGCTTCTAGTCAGAGATCTCCTACGTGGCGACCGTGAGCGAGACCTAAAAAGCGAAAAATAAATTTATATTATTTGCCATTTACAAAAATATTAAAACAGAACTGTGAGCAGTTCGCTCGATAGCGTTTTAATTGTTTGCCATAATTATTTTATTCACATTTCGTAAGAAACTTTATGATAAAAATAAAATTGAAAATATAAAGAGAATGAAAATAAATAATTATTTCATAATAATAAATTTATTTTTTCTAATAAAACTGAAATTAAAAATATAAGGAAAATAATAATAATAAAGAGATTATTTAAATTTAAATATATAAAAAATTAAAATAAATAAAAAAGAAGGGAATTTTTTAATTAACTTTAGAATAAAAACATGCGTTTAATATAAACAAAAAAAAGAATTGAAAAGAGAAAAAAGATTTAAATAAATTCAATTAAAATTATAAGAAGCAAAAAATTAGAACGAGGTCGAACGAATAAATGCAACACATATAGGTATAAAAATCATCACAAGACAATGTAATTGAATTAGGATCGACTAATTCCTATTTATCAGGGGGTGATATAAAATACTAGTTAGGTATATAGTAATTAATAATTAATTAAAAATGACATCTCACCATTAAATGGTAAATCAACCAACAACAAAAATTAAATAGTTAAACAACCAAAATTTTAGAAAAAAATTAATAATAATGTTATAGATTTATGAATTCCACGACAATTCTCCAAGAAAGTTTTTTTTATAAATTATTCTACTACCCAAACGACATTTTTCCCCCCTTTGAAATTTACAAATTTAAACCAGGGCTACAAAATCGTTTTTAATTTCTTTTGGAATTAAAAAAAATTCAACAATTAAACAAAAAAATATATAAAATGGTATTGAATATATAGAGTTGCCACAAAAATTCGATTATATTTTTCCCTGATTTCCAGACAGAACTTTTTTTCTTTTAAATTTTTTTAATTAAATTTTATTTATTCTAAATTTGAATTTATTTAAAATTTTAATTTCCCTAAATTCCTTAAATTTTTTCCCTAAACTTGTTTACAATTCAATTTCATGAAATTTCAATAAATTGAAAATTTTTCAATGAAATTTAAAGGCTGATGGACAACAAAATTTAGAATTTTCTTATGAATTCTAGAAGTTGAAAATTTTTCAATACTTTTTTTCTAATTAAATGAATCAAATGTTTTCAATACTTTTAAAGGGTGCTGGACAACAAAATTCAGAATTTTCTTATAAATTCTAGAAATTGAATATTTTTCCAGTACTTTTTGATGAAATTCCCTGACTCTCCTGATTTTCCTGAGCTGTGGCAACCATGATATAATATTACAATGAATAGTATTAAATTAAATAGATAAAAAAAGTATTTTGAAAAAATAATTATATTAAGAATCAAAAATATCTATAAAATTGAGCAAAAATAATTAGGAAACATTTTGATTTCGTGTAGAAAAAAAGAAAAAGAATTTTGTACCCTGGTGCACGATTCCTCCTTGGAGACACTGTCCGATTGGTAAAATATAATAAAAAATTTTGGAAAATCGGTGAAATACCAGACAACTGTGAACATGTAGTGGTGGTGGTGGTGGTTGGTGGAGGTGATGGTGGTACTTGGTTGGGTGGAATGGTGTGTAGGTGGTGATCATTTTGCTTTGCTCGGTCGAAGAGAAGTAGCGGTCGCATGTCAGCTAATTAAAACGTGATGGTTGACGAGTAGAAGTAGCAGTAGAAGTAGCAGTAGAGCTTGGGGTGGATGAACCGATTATTATTATTTTTTTTTTTTGATTTTTGACACAAGTCAAAGAAGATTTTTTTTATGTTTGAATCGCGTTTTCAGCCGTTTGATGGGTTTTTTTTTCACGATGCTCCTAGTCACTAGAAGTTGAGGTAGCCCGAAGATGTCTTTTATTGACGGGGAGGTGACGAACTGACGAAGAACCCGACGGACAGCAAAAAACGAACTGTCATGCGACGGACAAGTTGACTCCTATCGGTGACTGGTGGTGACTGATGGTGACTGGTTGGGAGATTAGTGGGCAGGCAGGCAAAAGATTTTTTTGATCAGTTTTTGATTGCTAGCGAATTTTTTTTTTCACGGTGGCTGTAGTAGTAGTAGCAGTAGAAGTAGTAGTAGTGACGGGGAGACGAGTAGAGCTAGAAGCTGACGCTGGTAGAATCTGCAAACGTCAGTTTTACCAATATATAACCATCATCGTTAATCATACTCCTTGCCACTATTTGTACACGCTTCTTTTTATCTTTAAATTTCAAAAAATATGCAAAATCATTTCAATTACTAGTAACTAATTCAATTTTTTTTTAAAGACTGCCCACTTATTAATTTATATTTCAATTATTTCCCACAAGTTTTTAGAGTACTTTTTACATCTCTTTTGATTTTAATTCTGTACTTGTAAAATTTATTTTTATTTTAAAATAAAAATAAGCAATCAAAAAATTTTTGTACTAAAAATAATGTTTCAAATTATAACAATTGGGCCTTTGGAACAAAAATACAAATTTTATAAAATAAAAAAACTTGGAAAATTTTGTGTACTTATGGCAATTTATGAACGTCTTACAAAATTTACAAAAAATTGGTTTTAATTTTGTTAATGTTTGTGTTCAACTTAATGTTAAATGTTAGCTGTTGAAATATATTTTTTAAATATTTGTACTTTTTTTGTATGAATCGTGAAAATATTTTACTTTCCCGAATATTCATATGAATGAAATTTTCCATCATTTTAAAATTCGAATTATTCATTTACGGAAAAAGTCAATATTTTCAAAAACACAATTTTGAAAACAAAAATTTCATGAAATTGGTAAAATTTAAATTTCATTCATGTGGATATTCATGCAATAAAAAGTACTCAATCATTCCTGAAGAATTTACGAAAAACAAAATAACCTAAAAAAGAAATAATTTTTAGAGAAAGAATAGAAAAAATAAAATCTAATCCCACGAATCAAAACAACACCAGACACCACTTTTTCTGCTCTAATCAATCCAAATTTAAAGGATAGAATAAAGCGGTCGCCAATGAGAATCAATATCTCTTGTTCCTCAATATCAATTATTTTTGGTCCAGTCACAAAGGATTCATTATTAACAAACGTAAATAATAATAGTGATTACTGCGTGCGAAAGTACAAGCGGTACTTTTTAATACATACTTGTCAATCACTGGGCAACTCCAAAACGTTTCTGAAAAAGTTTTTTTTTTTTTTTTTAACAAAAATGCAAAACGAAAATGCATTACCTCGAGTAGCGACTATTCGATGATCTCCTTGGACTCTTTGAATAGGATCTAAAAAAGAATTAAAAAAAAATAATAAATAAATCTTTTCAACGTAAATAATAATTACCAGATCCTGTTCAAAGTTACAAAATTATAGCTTACTTGCACCTGTAAATTGAGTCGCGAAATTCTTACCTCTGGAACCGGCCACCTTTTCTTCCTGGACTCCGAGATCTGGACCTACAATAGCGTGAGAAAAGAAACTTAAATCTGTTTCGTTACCAATACCAAATCAACAATTATTGATGAGGATCCTAAAAAATTTTTTTTTAAGATCAAAAAATAATTTTTTTAACTCTCAACACACTCTCGAGCATTCACTATCATTAACATGCTGAGCTCCCTAAATTTTTTTTCTAAATCAAACATTCTTTCTCGCACCTTCAAGCTCTACTTTAAGAACTTTATGTTCGTAAGCCGAAGTATTTTTCTTATCTGACGATATTTTGGGGTAAAAAATACATTCCTATTTTTAGCAAAATGATGAAATGATGTAGCATTCTGGAAAAAAAATTTGTTCTCTCTTTTCGAAAGAAATAAGTGCATCTTTTTTCTTTTTCTTTTCTCTCTTTAAAAAACAACACTTCACCATATCTATCTACTTTTGTGAATCAATTTTTAACAACTTTATGAATAATAGGAGAGAAATGATCAATTAGATCGCAAATTTAGTGGCTTACCTTGAAGAATATCGAGGACCAGGTCTACGTCCACCGCCACCACGACGACTTCTGCCTGAAGACATTTCCACTCGTACTCTTGTTCCGAAACAGCGGCTGTAAACATTTTTTTTTTTGACTTTAGAATTTATTTCAGGGTTGCCACAAAAATTTATTTTCATTTTTCCTGACTTTTCCCTGATTCCTAGAGAAAATTTCGACTTTTCCCTGACCCTAAACAATATTCTAATTCATTAAAAATTATTACATTAGATACTCATAAAAATGTTCTATTAAAATTTACAAATTTCTTCAAAAATAAAATTATTCGAAAACATCAATAACTTCTTTTTTAAATAAATACCTATTTAATCATTATTTTTCCATAGGAATTAGGATTTTAAAAAAATTCAAATTTAAACATTTTGAAATTCAATAGTAACTTTTAAGAATATTATTATAATCATAATGTTTTATAATAATTTAATCTTCTATAACATTTTTCAAAAAAAATGTAATTATTTACAAAATTTTAATAAAATCCTAAATTTAATAATTAAATAAATTTATTATTAAATTAAATTAATTAATTAATTAATAAATTTAATAATTTAATAATTAAATAATTGAATTATTTTTTACAAGTAATACAATTTTTCACATCAATTCAATTATTTTAAAAAATGTAATAAAATTCGTTGTAAGAATTCAATTATTATCATAAGTTATAAAATTTTTCCTAGGATTTAAATTATTTTTAATACAATTTTAAATGAATTCCTTGAAAAATGTAATTATTTTCAAACATTTTTTGCAAGAATTCAATTATATTTCACAAATATTGAAATTCTTTGAAAGTTTTTTTAAATAATTGAATTCCTTCGAAAAATTTGATTATTTATGAAAATAATTGAATTCTTAAAAAGAACTTTATATTAATTTATAAAAATAATTGAATTATTTTGCAGAATTACTTAAAAATTTTTGAAAATAATTTTCCTTCTGCGACGAATTAAAAGTTTTTTTTTATGAAAATATTTGAATTTTTGCAACGAATTTTATTATTATTTAGAAAATAATCTGTTTCTTTAAGCAAAAAAATTTTACGTTTCGTTTGAATTTTGTCTTGTTTTGTCCATGATTTTTATTTTTCAATTATACAGTAAAGTAAAAATAAGTTAACTTACGTTCCGTCTAGTCCTCTAACTGCGTCCTCAGCATCTCTGGGATCATCGAATTCGACGAAAGCGAATCCGGGTGGATTTCTTGCAACCCAGACATTTCTCAATGGACCGTATTTACTGAATGCACTTTCAATTTCGTGCTTACTGGCATTACTTCCCAGATTTCCGACATAAACCTTGCAAGATAAATCCCATTCACGATAACGTGCCATTCTGAAAAAATTAATTTTGTTAAATTCAAATTATCCAAGCAATTCAATAGAAATTGAAAATAAATTCATAATTTTCTATTTTTAAACCTTTTGCAATGTATAAAAATAAACTTGAGATTTCGTAACATAGATTTCTTATTTAATAAATACTTTTTAATAATTTAAAATAAAAATTTAACAAATTAAATTATTAATTTATAAAATTAACGAATTACCCTAAATCAATATAATTATTGATTAATCAATAATAATAGCTGATAAATAATTATCTGCTCTGTGAAAGTAGAAGAAATTACCAATTTTTAATAAAAATAAGACTGTTAAATAATCGATAAAAATAAATCAAGTGCAATAAAATCTTCAAGTATGACAAATTTTTAAATATAAAAAACATATTATAAAAATAGAATTTTATATTGAAAACGTTTGTATAAAATGTATAAAATTATAGTCATATTCCACTCTATAGAAAATCAATAAGTACAAGGAAAATCAAGATTTCATTTCAACCCTAATAAGAATATTACAATTTTATCTAAAAATCAATAAATGTATAACACCTAATTCTAGTTGTATTAGAACTCTTTACCCTCTTTTAAAACAAATTGTATGAAAATTCTACCATCAGAATTAATATAATCATATTATTCCCCATATTCAGAGACATTTTTTTAAAAATAATTATTGACATTAATATTTTATATTAATGTACAAAAAAAATAGGTACGCAATAAGTAAACATTCGGCCATTTTTAACTTCAAAATAGCCTTGTAATTCATCTTGGCACACAAAAATAATAATCTCTATCACAAATTTCTGGAAAAATTCCCACAGCTTCCTTGTAAGAGGTAAATAATTGTAGAATTAGATTTTTAAACGTCAGTGAAAACTTTAAAGAAAAACGTATCTGAAGCTTTGTGGAAGGTCGTTTATTATTTTTTTTTCTTCTGTCGAATCTCAAAACAATACCGCTCAAGTGAAAATTGGAGCAAAGAAAATATGAAAGTAACCAAAAATTAGTTGACTTACATTTTTTATTGAATTAGCTGTCAAGAACTAATTTAGTATTTTTGCAAAACTACTTTGCAAACGAAAGTTGGCTTCTCCTCTTGGCACACACAAAATTTTTGTGAAATCAAAATGGCGTCAAAGACAAGCGCCTGTGCCGCTCAAGTCCTTTTTAGAAAGCTGTCAACAGTTGTCAATAAAAGACGCCATTTTTCTGACAACTCTAGTCAAAGTGGTGACTCTTCTTTTTTTTCTATTTTGAGCGAATTTTCTTTTTAGCCAAAAAGAAAGAGTGAACATTTTTTCGAATTTACAAATTTTAGAATGCTTGAAACATTATCAATTGATTTGTAATCGTATTTTGGTATGTAATTAATAATTTTTTACATTTTTTTTAAATAAAAATATTTAAATTCAGGAAATGTTAGTTCCGAGTTCTGCCGTAAAAGTCACTAGCGCGCTGACAGCTAGTTCCGCCGCCATTTGCAATAGTGACTTTGTCCGGAGTAGAAGTAGAAGTTTTTCTCTTTAATAATTGTTAAAATCTTGATATAAATGTAGTGTAATGATAATAAATAGGTGAAAATTGTTTAATATAGATATTTAGTATTAGTTTTCAAGTAAAAGTTTTTTGGCCACATGTTTAATTTTGACGAAATGTTGAAAATCAAAATGCGCTGCCAGTGTACAAAGTCGGCGCAAAGATGGAAATTACAGCTAAATTCACGTTGAGTCACGAACTCCAAATTGGCAGAATTGTAAAAAGTTTATACAAAAAGTAAATTTTGTTTGTTAATTAAAAAAATGAAAGTTTTTATTGTGCTCCGAGTAAATTTTCAACATTTATGATTCTTTGGAGAGAAACAAGTTTTTAAGGTTAGTTTTCTTTGTATTGTTATTTTTAATTTGTTTTGATTTATATGACCTTTTGACACTGTTTTGTTTATTTGGGGAATTTTGAATATTTCCCCAAGAAACTTCCATTGGAAATTGAAATGTTTCAAGAAATTTCCTACAGTAGAAATTATAATTATTGCCCCGCGATTTCTGAGTTTTCCTGTTTCTTATTTTTGTTGACGCTTCCTGAATTATTAAATTAATGTAAGTTTTTGAAAAATTGGTAAATAATTTACTACCAGACGTATAAAAAATTGTTTACTTTGAGTAAAATATTCAGTTTTGAGGTTAAATTATGTGTTAATCAAAATTTAACCTCAAACTATTGACAATATGGTTTTTTGTTTGTTTACTTTTTTGCATTCTTCCAGTTTTTTAAAATGTTAATTTGGCAAGATGGAATTGCATTCTGAATTTTTGTTCTTTATTTGAACAATTGATTTTTTCAATTTTTTTCAATATAAACACGCAGTATTTGGTATTTTTTAAAATGAATTTAGGTCAAATTGATAACAAATTGATTAATATTTATCTGTTTAGTCATTTTGTGCTTTTTTGGAGCAAAATTAAATATTCTTACTGCTCTTTTTTGTATTTTTTAAATTAATACGTTTTTGACTGTTAATTTAAAAAAAACTGTTAGAAACGTCTTAAAAATTGTTTTTGCTTTATTTTTTTATTGTATTTATTTCTTGTGTTTTTCGTATTTTCATTTAATTTTGCACTTTTTATATTTATGTGCTTTTTGGATATTTACTGCACTGCTTTTTTAATCACGCATTTTGTATATTTTGTTTTTTTTTATATTCACGTTACCAAAATTTTAATGCTTGGTGAAGTTTGAAAATTAGTGTTTTTGGCAAGTGATACTGAAAAAGTTTTTTTTATTTGCAAGTAAGTTTCATGAATATTTTTTCTTTTATTTTTAACAATTTTGTAATAAAAAATTTTTTGACGCAATTTCCTTGCATTACGATAAAGTCTCTAGTATTATATATATACAACTATGTATTAAGATTATTAGCATTATAATTTACCATCATTTAGTCGATTTGTTTCAGTCGATTGTCAAGGTCAAGTTTATTGTACTTCTTGCAGTAGTGTTCTTACAATTATTGTTGATCTTATCCTTCAACCATGACGCAGTTAGTTTCCTGAAAGATAATAAAATATTATCGCTGCTGCAAAGAATTGATATTTTATTTGGAAATATGTATCAATTATCGTTTATTTTCTTTCTCCTTTCTGGAGCTTGTTCTTTAACTTTAATCGTCGCAGCTGGACCAAGACAATGTAGAGGAGAAAATAATCAGCCAGTTGATTGGTGAGTGAATAAAATAATTATTATAATTTAACGTTTATTATTCTGCTTCTTCTTTAAATAAATTTAATTTTTAATTTTAGAATTAAAAACTTTTTTCTTTTTTAGGTATGTTCTGTACAAATTACCAAAAAGGCCAGAGAGTAGCAATAAATTGGTTCAAAAAGGTGTTGCTTATCTTTACATGACTAGTGAGACAAGTAGTCAAAAGTGGACACTATCTGACAAGGATATTAGTTCAAAAAATTCTATTCCTGGAAATACGTTGGCTTCTTTGTACGATAATGTAAGTTAAATTTTCTATTTTTTAATAAATTGGTAATTTCACTTTTTTTAATTTACATTATTAAATATATTAAATATTTAATATTTAGATAATTAAATTTATTTAATATTCAATATTTACATAATTAAATTCCTCGTAAAGAAGCGAAATAAAAAAATATTAAAATTTTAGTTTTTTACTGTCTTTTTTTTATTTCTTACAAGATTAATTAATTTTTTTTAGAAACAAGAAGATGACGAATTGTGGTTACTCTATAATGATCAACCACCAAATCGAAGTACAGGAAGATATGGCCACGCAAAAGGAGTTGTAAACGTTGACGATAATAAGGGTTATTGGTTAATTCACAGTGTTCCGAATTTTCCACCAGCACCAAATGGTGGCAAAGAACCGAGAAAACGTGCTTCAACGGAAAATATAACAACAACGATTCAAATACCCGATGGCTCGTATGATTATCCCTCTACGGGTAAACAAAATGGACAAAGTTTCTTGTGCATTTCACTCGATTTAAATCAATTCGATCTTGTTGGTAAACAATTGATGTACAATCAAATTACTGTTTACAAAAATAATGTACCAAAAGAATTGGGGAAAAAATTCTCTGTTCTTGCTCAGGCGGCAAATCAGGTGCGAATAAAAACTGCACCATTTTATAATGCCGCGATTCTCTCGTCCTTGGAACAAACAAGATTTATTTCGTTCGCAAAAAGTGCAAAGTGGAATAAAGGTAAAATACATTTAAAAAAAATTTTTGTTTATAAAGTTAAATGTTTGAGTGAAGTTTTTTTGACGAAATAATATTTTTTTGTAGATTTGTACGATGATTTTGTTGCACCGGAACTTAAGACTGATTTATTGACAGAAACTTGGTTGAATGGACGAGGAAGATTACCATCGGAATGCAATGGGTCTAGGTAGTGAAGAATTTATTTATTATAATAATTAAAATTCTTTTTTTTTATTATATTTAAATATTTGTATTTATTTTTAATTTCTTTATTTATTTTTCATTTTTGTATTCACTGTAATTTCTTTTTTCAGAGTATTTAACGTTGAATCGGTTTATTTGAAAGAAGTTGACCTCAACTTTAACAGTAGTCATGATCATTCTAAATGGGCTGTGGCTTCCGAAAATAAATCCAATAGCAATTGGGTTTGCGTGGGCGATATAAATCGAGCTGTAAATTATTTATTCATTTTTAAAATATTCATTTTTTTGCAAACTTTTATTAAATTACTCATTTTTTTCCTCAGGATACTCAATTCACGAGGGGCGGTGGAACAGTTTGTCTCAATTTGGCAAAAGTTTGGAAAAATTATCGTGATTCAGTGGCTGGAATCGAGCCTTGTCCAAAACCGAAAAAAACATTTTTCCAGAAATTGAAAAATTGGTTTTCTTAACATTAATTTGATGGAAGTATTCTATCTGATTTCTTTTTTACTTCTACAGATATATTTCTATCTGTAATATTGTTATTTTTTTATATAAATTTTTAGAATAATTTTATTAATAGTTAGTAAATGTTTTTAATGTTTTTAATGTTTATAACGTTTTTAATAATGTTTACATGTGTAATTTTCTACAAACTGTAATACATGTGCAATAAAAAGTGCAATAAATTTTTCATGTTGAAATTAATCAATTTGTATTTATTTTGAATTTGTTTGAATAACAAATACAAAAGGAATAAAATGATAAAATATATTTTTGTATTTTAAATTTTACCGCGTATCGAAAAGATTTACCGACAGTGTAAATAATTTGTCGGTAAAATGGAGAATATTTTAATGTCTGTCTGTAAATAGTGTGTTAATAAGTGTACAATGGATAAAATTAAAAACAATTTATTAAATAATAAATTTGATAATATTTGTCGAATTTGTTTAAAAGAATGTGGAATAATGTTGCCTATTTTTAAAGAAAACGGTGTAAAATTGGAAGAATATTTATCTTTAGCAGATAAAATATCGTCTATCGCGGAAGTTCAGGTAAGAATACTTTTTTTTCTTATTTACTATATTTCACTTTTTTTTCTCAATAAAAACATTTTATTTATTCAATTTTGAAAACAGTTCTTTATTTCGTAAATGACGTTTCGTTTCATTGACATTCTTTTATTTGGATTCATTGTTTACAGATTTTTTGGAATCATAACCTCAAAATTTTGTATTATAAACATAAAGCATTTAATCATTTCATTGTTTTTATTTTGTTAATTCTATTAATTTGATTAATTTCTATATGAAGAAAAAAAATAATTTGTGCCATAAATAATTTACAATTTATTTCTTATTACTTTTCGGTTTTTTAAAAATTTTGTATTTGTCATTCTTAATTAGTAAATTATTATTATTCATTACAATAGTTTTAAAAATGTTTAAAAAAATGATTTAAATGTTTTATTGAGAATAATTTGTTTACTGTACAATTTAATGTTATTTCGTCTGAAACTAATTTTTGGAGTAATTTTTTTTATAGATAAACGAAGGAGACGGATTGCCGCAATTAATTTGTCATCCATGTAATTTACGAATTGAAAAATTTTATGAATTTCGAGCTCAAGTGGAAATTTCGGATCGTGCTTTACGAACTGCTTTGGGCACGGAAAAAACTTCTTTTAAGGAAGAGAACAATGAATATTACAAAAATTTTATAAGTAACAATCTTTCCGATGCTCATTTAAATTTAGGTGAAGTTAATACGATAATGGTTCCTGATGATGATGACATGGAAGTGGTAATATTTTCCCCTTTTTTTCATTCTAGTAAAAAAATACCAAATAATTAAAATTATTATACCTTCTTTTTTAAATTAATTAAATTTAATTGTTTCTAAAAATTTTCAGGTCTGGAAAATTTGCAATGCAAATAAAGAAGAATCGGATAATATTGGTTACGATGAATCGATTCTCAATGATTTTCAAGCATACAATAATGAGAGTGAACAGGAATTCGATGGAATTTTAATGTCACCGGAAAAATATGCATCTGGAATTATTGATCGTAAAACAAAAGTACAACGTCTAAATAATTGCGCACAATGCAATAAATGTTTCAACGATAGTCAAGAATTAGCTCTTCACTTATCCGATCACGTGACGAATAATGAGGAAAATAATGTAAATGATGAGACTAAATGTGAATTGTGTTTTGAACAATTTTCATCGTTAGAAAATTTAAAAATTCACATACAGGAACATTTTTGTGACACGCGTGTCACAAATTCCGAGAATAATAGTATTAAATCCGAAAAGAATATAAACTATCAGAGTAATGAGGAATATCATTGTTCGCAGTGTAAGAAAGAATTTCTCACTGCGGATGAATGTTCTGAGCACATTAAGAAGCACAAAGTACAAAAATTATTTATGTGTGGAATATGCAATAAAGCATTTACGAGAAATTCCTCGCGGAAAAGACATGAATTAAATCATGTTGAGAAGAATTTCAAATGTCGACAGTGTGGAAAAATGTTTTTGAAAAAAACGGAATTAAGGTAAACTTTTGTAATTTTAATTACTGTAATTAATACAACTAATTATACCATTAATCATTAATACAATTAAACGATTGATACATTTATGTTGATTAATAAAAATAAAATTTTCCAGGTATCATGTGAGTTGTCACGTGGTAACACAGCCGACTTGTGACATTTGTAGGAAAACCTTTCAAAATCGACAATCATTGAAACTTCATATGAAACGTCACACAGGTGAAAGTACATACACTTGTAAAACATGTGGGAAAAATTATTTTTCCAATTCAGAATTAAATCGTCATATACAAATACATTTGGGAAAACGGGATTTTCCCTGTTCATTGTGTGAGCAATCGTTTTTTTCAAAACCCGAACTCACAAGGCACAGTAAATATCATCGTGGCGATAAGAAATTTAAATGTCAAATTTGCTCGAAATCGTACTTTGAATCTGGTCATTTGAAAATACATTTGAGAATACATACTGGTGAAAAGCCATTTATATGTGAAATTTGTGCCAAAGCATTTATATCAAAATCAAAACTTGTGAGGCATCAGAAAATTCATTTGAAAGCAAATTCAAAGAAAAGTGATAAAACAAATGTTTTCGAAACGCAGATTTAATTTTACAATAATACACAATGGTTCAAGTTTGAAATTGTATATTGGATATGTTATGTTTGATGGAACAAAAAAAGGAAAAAAAAAAGAAAAAAAAAAAAAAAGAATGAAAGAAAGCAGGAAAAATATATGAAAAATGTTGTTTCGTATACTAGAGTTTAAGAAAAAATGGTTTTTATTAAATCGAAAGAAATACGAAAAAACAAGTGGATTTGTTATTTCTGCCTTTATTGTAAATAGTAATATAAATAATTTTTTTTAATTACAATTAAGATTATAATTGTTATTTTGTCCGATCAATTTTATTTCTTTAATAACGGACGTAAAATTATTTGAATAATAATTATTATTATTACTATTACTATTATTATTACTATTATTTTTAATTATTATTAATATTATTTATTATTATTATTATTATTATTATTACTAATTATTATTATTTATTTTATATAATAAATTAAATGAAATAAAAAAAATTAAAAGAAATATTCTTTTTGCGAAGATTTAAATTTCTATTTGAATTTATTACAAAATTGTGATACTTGCGGTTTTTTTAATTTTAAGAATTACGATAATTTTCAATTTTTTCGTTTCGATAACAAGATATTCTTTATTTCTTTCGTTTCCTTCTTATGAACAGTTCATAAATTCGGAAAATTAGAAAATTTTTTTTTCCTTTAAGAGTATAACAAAATTCTAGAAAAATTGTTACTTATGATGGAAAATCATTTTATGGATTCAACGGTGCGCGTTTTGCGAGTCGATATGGTCTTGGAATTCGAGATTACGAGTTCGCGACGTCGGAAAATGCAATACCATTGTGTTTCATTTTTTTTTCTTTTCTTTTTTTTTTTTTTAAGTCGAGACTGTATGCGCGGGTGGCAGATGTGAAAGCACTGACGACACCGGAATGATGAAATGAAAAAAAAGAAAAAAAAAAAATTGAAACCAAACGGAAAGTTTGATGAATTTTTTTTCACATAAGGCGAAATTGAGATTAAATTCTATCTTATACAAAAGTGTTATTTCAAGGGGAAAAAATGTAGGAATTAACATTTTTGGTACTTTTGGTTTTCTTTTCTTTTTTTTTGAAAAAAATATTTATTTATTTTAAAATAAATAAATTTTTACTTTTTTGGAAATTTGACAATTTTTTCATGATGGCAGAATTAATTTTTACTGTAATAATTATTATAATGCAAATTACAAAATTTTTATTTTCAAATATTAATTTTTAAATAATTTCAGATTCAAACTTTAAAAAAAATTTAATTATTAACTAATTTACTAATTAATTATTCTTATTTGCTAATTTCAAAAATTTTAATAAAATTCTTCTCAAGAATTCAATTATTTTCATAGATAATAACATTTTTCGTAAGAATTGAATTATTTTTATATAAAAATTTTGTTATATTAATTTTGAATGAATAATATATTGAAAGAGTAATTGAATCGATATTTCTTTTGAGATATAGATGTGTAATGTTGGAATAATTCATATATATATAGTTGATAGAGATGAGGACTGACCAATATTCATGGTTGAGAGGAACATGACATTTCATGTTTGGAGAGAGCAATAGGTCAGGTCTCGCTTGAGCCTGTTCCAATTTAACTTATTGAGGGTCGGAGGTATAGTTTGGTTGAGGGCAATGTTAGTTAATTACGCATCAGTCCCCTTCAATTCAACTGGAGCACCAACTAAAAGTTTGGTCTCACACATAAAATAATGGCCCTTTCGACAGACACTGGTTTCACACGCTAAACGCTTTGCTTCATTCATTATTTAATTAAATCTCTGTTTCTCGATTTCTCATCTTTAATTAAAAATTTCTTCCCTTTTTCCCTCTTTTTATTTATAGAGAAAAACAAATACTTTTCAACGAGTAAATTAAATTCATTTAACCACTTTATTTTTTAAATATGTTACAAATTTTTAAATAATCGTTTTATAATTTCATTGTTTTTGTTAAATTTTGTTGAATAATTTTTCTCTTTAAATAAATATGGTTTTTTTTTGTTTCAGAATATTTGCTGAGTATGCTAATCAGCCGTGGGTGCTAACAAAGAAATGTAAGTTTTTATTTAAAAAATTTAACAGATATTTTATTTCCTACTGATACATTTATTTTAAATCTCGCGTCAGAGGTAATTTTTTTTCGGTTTTTTTCTGCTTATACGACGAGTGAATATATGTTTCGTGAGTGAAAAATCCCACACCTATGAAAAAAAATTTTAATTAGCTTTATTATTTTTTTGGGGAAGAGAATTTTTTATTACGTTTGTTAATTACCAAAAAGCTGCATATTTAGCGGCGAAAGAAACGGTAAACATATTTTTATGCAAAATATGTTGTAGCCATATAGAGAAAAATGTAGAATTTTTGTTTTTATAATTTTTATATTCATACATTTTAGAAAGAAAATCAATTTGAAATTTCCAAAAACGATTTTTTATTTTCTACAATGAATTTCTAGTTTTTGAAGACAATAATTGGTTAACTTTACACTGAGAAAACTGTATTCTATTTTCTATCAAAAAATAAATAGTTTGATCAATAAATATATAAATAATTAAAACAAAATTTGATAACGAATAATTAATGTTAAAGAATTTCATCTGATATTAAAAAAATAATTGAATTCTTAAAAAATTTTAATGAAATATTTGGTAAATAATTAAATTTGACAAAAAGTCACAATCGATTCTATTCATATTTATGATAATTTTTATAAATAAGTAATAAAAATTTTACGAATTGAGAATTAAATTAATTTTTATGACTCAGATAATTATTGGAATTGTTGTGGCAGTAGTTTAGGAGCAGTATAAAATTTTGTGACCAAAAATTGATAATAAACAGTAGCTAAAGTCCGCTTAAAAAATATTTTTCCATATTCTGCTGATTATCGGCTGTGGTTACTTTTTTATAAATTTTAATTAAAAAATTTTTTATGACTCAGATAATGATTGTTGTTTCTTCTGGTAATAGTTTAGGACCAGTGAAAAATTTTGTGACCTAAAATTGATAGTAAACAGTAGCTAAAGTTCGCTAAAAATTTATTTTTTCATCTTCTGCTGATTATCGGCTGTGGATACTTTTAATAAATTTTTATTTAAATAATTTTTTATGACTTAGATAATTATTGAAATTGTTCTGGCAATAGTTTGAGAGCAGTAAAAAATTTTGTGACTAAAAATTGTTAGTAAACAGTACATAAAATTCTTCGCAAAAATTCAATTACCTATGTTCAAAAATTTAAAAAAATTCTCGTCAAAATTCAATTATCTTTAAAAATAATAAAATTCTTCTCCAAATTTCAATTATTTTCAAAAATTTTAATAAAATTCTTTGCAAAATTTCAATTATTTTCAAAAAATTTTTCTCAATTCAATGATTTTCAATATCTACAGTTTTAATAAAAATTTTCAAAAGAATTCAATTATGTCAAAAAAAAATTTTGATAAAATTCTAAGCAAACTTCGCAATAATTCAATTATTTTCATAAATAATAACATTTTTTACAAAAATTCAATTACTTTCATGTATAATAAAATTCATCATAGAATTTCAATTATTTTTAATACAATTTTAATTGAATTCCTCGAAAAATTTAATTATTCTTGAAAATTTTATTAAAATTTCTCGAAAAAATTCGTTGATAAAATTCTTTATGATAATTTAGTTTCGAAAAACATTCATTTATTTAATAAATTATTTATTTTTGTATTTGTATTTATAATAATATTCTTATTTAAGTTGTTTAATTTTAAAAATGTTTGATTTTGAATGTTTTGAAGAATTTTAATTCCTATGGAAAAAGAATAATTAAATACTTATTTAAAAATTTAGTTATTGATGTTTGCGAATAATTTTACAATTTAAGAAATTCGTAAGTAAATGTAATAGAGTGTTTTTTTTTTGAGTAGGTATCTAATAATTTTTAGAGTGAATCAGAATATTTATTAGGGTCAGGGAAAAAGTCAAAATTAGTCGGGAAAAAGTCTGGAAATCAGGGAAAAGTCAGGGAAAAATAAAATTAAATATTTGTGGCAACCCTGTCAGATAATTATTGGAATTGTTCTAGCAAGAAATTAGGACCAGTAAAAAATTTTGTGACTGAAAATTGTTAGTAAGCAGTACATAAAGTTCGCTCAAAAAATAAATTTTCATCTTCTGCTGATTATCGGCTCTGGTTACTTTTTTTGAATTGTGAATTAAATTAATTTTGATGACCTAGATATTAATTATTTTTATAAATAATATAAGTTTTTTTTAGTTTGAAAGCTCCTTTTTTGAAATTAATTATCGAGTTATTAATTATCGAAGTCTGGAATTTTTGTCTCGATTAGTTTTGAAATGATATTTATGAAAATGAGTGAGCTTAATCAGAGTTTAGTGTTGAATCAAGTGTCGTTTTTCTTGAAAGATCGCAAGTCGACGAAACATAGTATGGGCACACTGGAAACTGAAATTCAGAGTATCTACGAAGTTAGTTGTTGTGGTTTGTTGTTTCTAACCGCTCGAGAGCCAGTGGTCTCTCTCTCTCTCACTCTCTCTTTCTCTCTCTATATATAGAGGGTGCTATGCAGTCCTCTTAATCCCCTTTTCGTGACAGCAGCTTGTTTTTCCCCGAGTGCCTACTCGCAAACCATGCTTCTCTTGTTCCTCGGAAGACAGTGTGCTTGTTTTATCCTCAATGTGCCAACATGTGCGCCACAAAACTGCGATTCACGCCTGACTGAACCGCAACGAAATTTCCCTTTCTTTATTCTCGTCTTCTCGCATTTTTTCTCTCTTCCCTCCTCTGTATAAGATATAAGGTATCAACGGATTTGCTCTCTTCTCTCTTGAGTAATTCTCTACTCTCCTTTTCTCATATTCCCGCTCGTAGAAAGCTGTACTTGTCGTACTTTATTAACAGGGTAGCTGAAAACTGAGATCCCTCTGTCTCTCTTTCTCTCTCTCTCTCTCTCTCTCTCTCTCTCTGAGATTCTCTCATTAAAGGACTTGCTGAATGTTCTTTATATAGAGCCATCCTTTCTAAAGAAAACATTCTTCAACTTTCTTCCATTCTTCCTTGCTTATTGCTCCAATATAACCTGTTGATCAGAAAACAATAGAGTTAATTAAGAGTGAAGTGCCTTCTGTTGGATTTTATTGGGATGCTGAATCACGTCACGTTTTTGATAAGATGAGAGTGAGAGATATCTCCCT